AAGTGTCCACTATACGAAGGTGTCCACTATAGAGAGGTGTCCACTATGGGAGGTTTTACTGTACTTCGCAAACAGGAAAATCTAACTGATATTGATGATTGTATTAAGGGAATTAATTAATGAAGATAATGAAGAAAAGAATAAGACATGACTCAATATTGAAAAATTCAATGTACATCATGTACATCTGAATAACTATATCAATAAAGGATAAACTAGTGACACATCTGTTTCTCTTCAGAAAATATTGACGATCAATCTAATTTTGTTATCACTTCATTTATTTCACTTCGATCTTTTTTCTTACTATATCTAATGCATCAAATTAGTCACAAGTTTACAGGCTACGGCATTCGTACTCCTCAATCTTTCGTGTAAAAATTTCTGTAATCCGGCCCTGTAGGGTTCTACTCTTGATAATTGATCTTATTCTTGTTGGTACTAGTTGTAGTCAATCGATTATATTGTCCAAAAGGATGGTGACGTCTAGGTGGTTCATGTTATTATATTTCCAACGTAGCTTCGACAATGAATGAAGCCAATTATACTTGTAGTCTTTTTCATTATGAACGTACCCAATTAATGCAAATTCGTAATTCTATTGGATTATTCTATGCAGCATTTATTCTCACTAAGAATAATCTCTCTGGGGTTTGGGTATCAGTGCGTGGGGGTGCGACTTTTCTTCATCCACACGTACACCCACACCCACGTAAACGTTTGTTATCAATTGCATCCGTATTTCTATTGGCAAACCGTAGGATTCAAACAGACACGAATTACTTTCATCGATTTTTTGCCGACGGAGATTGTCTGTTACCGTAGATTTCATTCCTTATCATATGAATTAAGAATAGTGGACTCACTAAACTGAAAAATCAAATGATGATAACATTACAACTATCAAGCATGTCTTTTGTTTTGGAAGAAACAACTTTACTTCCTACATTTTTAGTAGACAGCGTGTCATCGAAAGAAAAAAATATTTTCTTTTCGTTTCGGAAGTGATTGTGGCCGATGCCTTTTTTTGTCTTTATTTGTTTTTTAGAAGAA